TGAGGGGTATATGTATGGGGCCCCTCCTTATCTATAGCTGAGAACTAGAATCTCCCAATCTGATTGGTCAATAAATGGAGCAATCAGATTTCGGGAGGACGTTTTCTGCTTTTTATAAGGACAACACCCAGTCCTTTTTGGGCGGTCGTGTGAAGTGAGCCAAACATGCTAACCAGAAAATTGTGGTTCCCTTCATATTGGGAAAATGGATCAATCAAAATGCGAGCCGTTACTTTAGCGTCATCGAGCCGTTTTCCTAAAACAGAACAATGATACTTACAACCGGGAAGTACTATTCCCAAAACAGAACAAAGGTAATCACTACCCGGAAGTATCATTTCCATAACAGAACAAAAGTACTCACTACTCGGAAGTGCTTTTGTTCTGTTTTGGGAATGACACTTCCGGGTAGTGAGTACTTTTGTTCGGTTTTGGAAATAGTACTTCCGGGTTGTAAGTATCATTGTTATGTTTTGGTGATAGCATTTCCGGGTAGTGAGTACCTTTGTTCTGTTATGGGAATGATACTCCCGGGTAGTGAATACTTTTGTTGTGTTTTGGGAATAGCACTTCTGAGTTGTGAGTAGTATTGTTCTGTTGTGGGAAAGATACTTCCGGTGCTAGAGTACTATATATTTACAGTGGGTATAGTATGGGCTAATGGACTCCACTTTGGCTCACTTCATACGACTCTTCCGGCACACCTACGATAAAATTTGGATTCCAAACATTATCAGAATATATAAGATCGATCACAGATTCAAAGGTTGATAGAATCCTATAGAAATCCGATCGGAAACCGACCGTCTGAATAAAGGGGGATCACAGCAATCGGAAATTATCGGAAACGTATGAGTATCCGATTTTAAGATCCGATCGGAATTCTGCAACCCGAATTCCAATCGGATTTTTGTCGGTTTTCGGGTCCGATAGGATCCGTCGTCGGATTTTTGGATCTGGGGATTCAAAGATTGATAGAATCCTGTAGAAATCCGATCGGAATTCGACAGTCGGAATCAGGGGGATTTCAATAATCGGAAATTATCGGAAACGTATGAGCATCCGATTATAAGATCCGATCGGAATTCTGTAACCCGGATTCCGATCGGATTTTTGTCGGTTTTCGGGTCCGATAGGATCCGTCGTCGGATTTTTGGACCTGGGTTTCTTTATTAGTTAATTAAAATTATAACTAAATTAATTATTTTATTTATAACAATTATAAAAATTTACCGTTCTCAACGACAATGTCGTTTTTCCTCAGAAGAGAGAGAGAGGGATGAAGAACTATTTGATGTTGTATTTTTCTTTAAACATGGTATGGACGAGATGATATTAGTCTGGTGCAATAAAGGTGTACTTTGTCTTCACATCCTTTTGATGGTGCTGCTTTGAAAACAAAATGTAATAATTACGCACAATTAATGTGGGAAACCTTTTACAATATAGAATGCTGTAAGGGTGGGTCTCTTCTTCACTCTCACCTTCACTCACTCTCCAGTCAGGAATATTCAATAGTTCGCTGGTGACAGTAATATTTCCATCATGTGCATAATAACATTTACCAGTGTTCATGTTTTGCAAGAATAAACTGAAAGCTTTATTTCAAAGTTTATGAAGAAAACCTTTTTCACTTTTCAAATCATTTTCTGTCTGCTTCTCTTTGATGTCTAATTACATTTGTTGGACTGAGACATCTGCAATCAAAGTATCGATGATTTTAATGTTGGCCTACACAAAAATGATAATTGTCTTAGTGCCCATTATCAATAGCTTTTCGTTCATCAAGCTTTGCATGGGGCTAAAATCACAGACATATTCTGAAAGCTGATGAAGAGTTCCACAACTTCAGCTGAAAAATTAATTGTAAAAATACCACTATGACATTTAGAAAAGTTGGTTTTTTCGGGAGGTGTCATGTTAGAGATCGGGTATTTGGCAGTGTTATGGTATATTTCTTGGAAACTAAAAGACATGTAACATTGGTTTTTTCAGAAGTGAATGGCCATCTGTAGGCCAATAATATTAAAAAGATTATCAAAAATATACATTGAGTAGAACACGACTTATAGACATTTTTTTTTTCAGAATCCAATGGTATAGTGGCTGTGCGCGTCACTCATGTATAAAGAACGCTGTCGATTAATGATTTAATTATCTATGTGATTCATTATCTATCATCAGCTGCGTTTATGGTTATCTTGAGGGCGATCAGAGCTGTACAACATAAGAGCAACAAGTACATATGCGAAACTAGTTATCGACCGTGGTGGGAAACACAATATGTTAACAGTTATTGACGGTGCTCACCGTTTATTGCAACGTACCGCTATACGAATCACTTTGACAAACGAAACACAAATGCAGTTACTGATCTCAACCCTCCTTTTTATCTTTATATAGTGTTTATTGCCCTTTTCTTGCTCTTCAAATAAATATTTTAGCGTACAAATGAAACGAAGTAGAATCTATTTGTAACGGAACTGACTGTAGTTCAGTTTTTGTAGATGTTGTATTTATTCTTGTATGAGATTGTTAATCTATAGAATACCATTATTTACAGATCGATGACACACTTAGCTTATATTATCAAATATCTTTGACGATTTTTTGCTTTTCAGAAAAGTAAAATGACAATAAGCTTGACAATTAATTCTTCAGACTTTGAAGTTCGATGAAAAAAGGCTAACGGAGAAAAAAAGATAAAAAGATAAATGATAACAAAATTCATTGGATAATTGCTGTTGAACTATATCGATGAAATCTCAGCAAAGAGCAATGCTATGTGATTCAATTGTTCTACACCGAAGAGAACCGTCTTATATTTTATCTCTTAGAGATGTTGCTACACCGGCTATCTTCGGTTATATACCACGTCTCATTATCAGCAGATATCTCCAGGTAACTCAGGACGTAACAAACAAAAACGACCACAATTTCTATTGCAAATATAATGCAGCTTCGCTTGCTACTATTATTGACGGTAGCAATTTTAGTTCGTGGGCAGACGAGTAGTTTTCCCAACTGTAAATCGGGTCCATTAGCGAGATTTCCGATTTGCAATCAATCGCTGCCGTCTCATGAACGAGCAGCAGATCTTAT